ATTCCTTAAGAAGGGAAGCTAGAAGAATGTCACAGCAACCCAAGGAACTGCTCTGACAAAATTTGCTTTCAGGGCTGAGTTGCCAAGGGTGATTTAAATGGCATATTAGATACAATTACTAGATAAGATAATAAATTGTGGAGTGAGACTGGACCATTGAACCTGCTTTTTTCTACAACCATGCAAAACTTACTCTAGGACAGAGTCCAACCCATTCACTTTATGCCCCCTTGCACTAGTGACCTTTCATTAGTGCTTGACGTTACATTTATGATGACAGATTGAGGAAATAATTTTTTGATTAATTTACTATTGGCAGCACATTAAAATGTTATGCATTGTGATAAGCAATGTTCCTGGCTGAGCAGAAAACTAGAAGATGCAATGAATCATGAACAACAACAACAACTTGCACTCATATAGCGCCCTCCAATGTAGTGTCTCAGAGCGCTTCAAAGTGGAGGAGGGTGAATCCGAGCCAGGTGGGGGGTAGATGACTAAAGCATGGTCGAAAAGGAAGGCTTTCAGGCAGGACTTCAAAAAGGGGAGAGAGGCGACAAGGCAGAGGGATTGAGGAAAAGTGTTTCAGAGCTTCGGGGCGTAGTGGCTCAAAGCGCAACCTCCGATGGTAGAGTGGAGGGTGTAAGGGACAAGCATGAGGTGAGTGCCAGTCGAGCGAAGGCGCCGGGTGGTGGATTGGGGAGTGAGGATGTCGGAGAGCTAGGGAGGTACCATGGAGTGAAGAAGGGAGCAGAAAATTACAAAGCATCATAGATTGAATGGGTTGGTGGAACTATGGCAGTTTAATGTTACAAAGTTTGAGGTACAGTAGTACATTATAGTCAAAAGAATATCAGATTGGGATACTTTCTAAATGGGAAAGTGGTGGTGAGGGGGAAAAGTCCAAGTCATACAAAGTCATTGAATTAAATAATTTACATTTTTATAGCCCATTATTGTGTCCAAAGCTTTCAAAAAGGTTCATTCACATGGCTATTTGTGGGACATTGCTGTGCACAAATTAGTTGCTGAGTAAAATATACCTACACTTACAACAAATCCTGTGAAACGGTTTGAGACATTTTTCCAATGTGAAAGACATTATATCAATGTAAGGATTATTATTATTTCAAATATGTCAAACCTTGGAGGGGAGGTAAGCAATGCCTCCTTGGAGCTGAATTGGCTCCAAGGTGATATGATTGTCAAAATCAAGGCAACTATGACTGTCTCAGTGATCCAGTTCCTGAGCCAGGTGGATCCGCAGATACTCCAGCCTAGCTCATTGGCAGGACTTGAAAAGGCAGACCAGTCACTGGGCTCTTTCCACTCAGCTTCCATTAACCCTGCAAACCAACGCCCTGATGGGTAGTATGGTCCTAGCTGGATAAACAACAGGAAAGCTGGCCAGACAATACTTTCAATGGCAAGCTACGCAGTTTTAGCTGGTTAGACTCCAGCAGTTCCCCAGCACACACTCTGGGGTCCCCAGGTCTTGGCTCTTCTCCACCGGCGCCTGATACTCTCTAGAATTGGGTAAGCAGGATGTTTCCCTCCAGGAAGAGAGTGTACATTCCATTCCACTGAACATCTCTGGAATTCCCATGTATAGGCAGGATACATGGAACTCTCAGTTTGGTTTGGATATTCTTAAAAATGCTGATGGGTTTCCATACATGTCAGACACCTGCTGACTGATAAAAGTACTGTCAAGTGTAGTTTCTGTTTTCATGGGCAAACCCGGTGGCCAGTTGTGTTGAAAGGTACGAACAGTCATGAAGTAAAGCAAATGATCAATTTATCTAGAAGATACCAAGAGAAAGTACCTTCCCTCTTTAAAACAGTGTCATAGCATCTTTAATGTCCACATGAAGAACAGCAGACAAGATCTTGGGTTTATCAGCACCAATACCACTTTTGAATGCATCATAGACCATGAGCTCAAATTCCTACGTGGCTTGAACCAACAATCTGCTAAATCAGAGATGAGACTATTACTAATTGAGCTAAGCTGATACTTAATGTTGTACATGTATCAGCTTCTTTTCACTGCATTGGCCAACCACAATCAATCCACCAGCTTCCTTTCCATCCCCATGCCAAATGGTCAGTTTTCAGCAGGCAGAAATCTACGTAGATTTCAGCATTTTTGCTTCTATTGCAGTCCCAACTAGCTTGAGAAGAATGAATGTGACAATTAAAAATAGAAGAGCAACTTATATCACTAGATTGACAGAAACTCACAAGGACCATTGTTGGGAGTGTATTCTGCAGGTAGTCTACCAGTGAAATATAAAATACAAATTTAGCCTGTGTTCTGATGTCCTGTTCAGCAATTCTTAATATAAATTGGTCATTTAATTCATGGCTCTTTGTTTGAGTTCACTGTGGACAAGTTGACTGCCAACAACAACAACCACTGTGCTTGATGGCAATTAATTGTGAAGCACTTTGAAAAGTTTTGATAATAAACCTTGCATTTGATATTAAAGTTGCTGTGTAATTGCAATGAATATTACATCAGGCCAACATCATTATTTGCTCTATTTTACTGATACCTTCTGAATACAATTCAAGAAACAAGTGTTAATATTAATAATATTATTCCATGTAGTTCATATATCACCTTTCAAATAGGGAAGACATCTCAAAGGGCTTTACAGGATATTCTATAATGTGCAGTAGCTGTGTTTTTGTAGGTCAATCTCATCCACCTAGTGAGTGCTCAAACCCGCACTTGTCAAATGTCGAACGACCCACTAGTGACTATCCTGCTTGGAAGGCAGGTGGGGGGGGAGGTCAGCTGAATTGGCTCCAAGGTGACATGCCTGGGCCAGCCCTCTGCAGCAGTCTCGGTAGTCCAGTTCCTGAGCCAGGCAGGTCCGCAGTATTCCAGGGCACTGCTGGGCCTGGCTCATCAGCAAGACTTGGAAGATCAGACCACAACAACAACAACAACAACAACAACAAAATTACATTCATATAGCCCCTTTCACATTGGGAGGACATCCCAAGGCCAGTCACTGGGAGCAGGGAGTCATGCCACTCAGCTCCTGTTAACCCTGCAAGCCAAAGCCCTAACGATTAGGGACAAGCAGCGGGAAAGCTTGCCGGACAGCAATATCAATGACAAGCTATGCATTTTTAGATGGTTAGACTCCTGCAGTACTCCAACGCACACTCTCGGATCCCCAGGCCTTGGCTCTGGCCAACCTGCGACTAATACTTGCCGGAATTAGGTAAGCGGGATGTGTCCCTCCAGGGAGAGAGTGTGCATTCCTTTCCAACAGTCTATCTCTGGAATTTCCATGTGTTTGGACACTCCTAAGCATGTTGATGGGTTTCCGTATGTGTCAGACACTCGGCTGACCAAAACAAATTGTAGGTGAATGTTGATAAAGAGTGTTTACTTAACTGTGTACCAATGAAAATGTAATCCGTTGATGCATCAGCTTTGTTAAAGTACCATCGTCGCACATTGGGTATTTAAATGCACAATAAATTCCCGGAAAAACCAGGAAAGCATTTCTGCAGAAATTCACCTCAAATTCACTATGTTGTATATTAAAGTACATTAGTTCCGTGACAGAGCTTTATTTGTTGTACCAGAAACAAATGCATAACATTTATTTGCTCTTCCTCATATTTTTAAACTTAAGCTTCCCTTGTGTGTATTTCTCTTGTCCCTCTGTGTAAATCTCCCTATGTCATACACTTACTCCTGATTCAAAGTAGGTGACCTGCTCCTATGCTGCTGACAATTCTATTTCGTAACTAGCTACTATGAGAATCACAAGAGGCACGCACCAGATACACATCAACTCTTAAGCTGTCTGCGGAGAACTGACTCATACCTGCTTAATGCTTATCCCCACCCCACCCCACCACCACCAGAGATCAAGATCAGTATTTAGTATGTGAGGAGTTCTGGATGTGAAATGATGTTTCACCAACAGACCCGCTAATGCCAAGCATTACTCATTAGGTCAAAAGTGGCAGCCATCCTCTTTGTTTCAAAAATGTCCAAATTCCTGACTGTCCAGCGCCTTGGGACGTCTTCCCAATGTGAAAGGTGCTGTAAAAATGTAATTTGTTGTTTTTTTAATGTAAAAGAATTGCTGTGCACAAGTTGGCTGCCGTGTTCACCCATAAGACACACAGTCACTGGACTTTACAATATATCCTGTGACATGCTTTGGGATGGCCCCCATATGAGAGGCGCTATACTAAATGTAAGTATTATTAAAAATAAACACAGGTCCATTGAGATAAAATTCCACTAGCCAATAAAGTTATCAATTCGAACTCCCAATATAACGGGAGAGAAATTCCATCTGGGTCCAGATTTACTCCAGTTTCTCAGCAACTTAGAGCATCTAGAATTCGACAAGTTCTTGTTTATTGTCTTCATATTGAAGCCAGTTTTCTGTAAGTTCTTTTGAGAATCACAGAAAAGCAGTTTCAAAGAAAGACTGAATTCAATAATATGCTAAATTCTACATTCTCCGAATTGCTAAGACAATAAGAATAAATTTGGACCCAGCTGGAATTTCTCCCTTATAAATGACAAATTCCATTATAAGTTTATAGGGAAATCACACTTTTAGCGTACAATCGCAAGGCTGGTAATTTTACCAATTAATGGAATAGCACCCTTTGTATGTTTTAATCAGGTTTTCATATTTGTAATAACAATAATTCTTGCATTTGATATAGCACCTTATCACATCATTCAAACGTCGCAAAGCGCTTCATATGATGTACTATAAAGTGGATTGACTGTATTTTGTGGAGAAATGCAAAATTTTTCTCTGATGTTGTCAGCTCTACTGACCAATCCATATGTTATCATTGTAATATGCAACACCATCAGATTGCCCCATTGTGTTTTTTTAAATAGAAGTAACTATGTAATACTGTATCATTTTTGCACCTGAATATTTATACTACTTGTAAATCAATTATAATGTTGCTCTGCCTGGTGCATTTCTTCTTCACAGCTTGTGGCTCCCCAACCCTTTTCCTTCCAAGTGATTTTAAACAAGCAGATCAAGGCCCAGACTGTGGTAAGTTGCAGACAGAAGGTTAGGATGCCTTCACTCCAGAAGGCCTTGTGTTGTAATGTTTACTTGTGTCCTTTCATGATTCCGTCTGGCGGAGGACAAGGTGTGACTGTAACAATTGGCGAAAGCTTGCAGAAAACAGGCAGAAAAATGAATGAGAAAAAAAGAAAAGCAGACGAATTCTCCTCTTTATCATGGTAATAGCAATTAGTAAGTTGTGGAGAATGGGCCTAAACAATAGAATGGGTTGCATAGGCCACCACAGTATATACTGCTTCCTGCTTCACGGAGTCTCTATACACTTTTACTGAGGTAACACATACACAGAGCTGGAAACTACAAAGCTTTCTCACAGCATCAAAGAAACAGGGCTTCACTTCCTTCAGCTGTGTGAGGCACCTTTAACTCATCAATATGCATACCTTAATATACTGTAAATCCTAAATACTCCAAAATTTTTAAATCATTTACGGACTACAAATGCATACTGATCTGGTAGTCTTAGCACAGGGGTGCCACGAGGAGGGAATTATTTCCCATTTTTCTTTTTCGATGAAATAAATTTGACTATTTATCCGTAAGTAGGTTTAATATGCATATGTTATGCCGTTGATTCAAAAGAGGAAAAACAGCAATTTATAATAGGAGTTACAGTTACAAATTGTATAATGTATTACTTATTATCTGATCAACTTGACTTTGTCATTTGTGTGTTGGTATATATGTTCCTTCCACAGAGAGAGAGAGCGAGAAACAGAGGTAGGTGGGTAGGTAGATAAAGCACAATACTAATGTTGAACTGGTTTCACTTATCGTCCGGACCTCTAGTGATGCCTCTAATGAGTTTCCACATAGGCACTAAGATCTGAATGTCACCTCACAAGTATTGCAATGGTGTTAAAACCTTTGCACATTCGAGAGTTGCCACTTCTTTGGGTGTTCTTGTTACACTAGTGATGGTAGCAGAGACTAGGAGTTGTGCCAGAAAACCAGATGACTTTGCTGGTGTTTTTTCCGTTAGCCACCACTAGTGGGGCAGAGGGGGGTGGACGACATGCCTTGCAGAGTGAAGGAAGTGGCTGGAGATGATTGCAGAGGTAGCATGGGACAAGAGCGTGGAGGGATATGAAGGTCAGAACGAGGATCTTGAAATCAACCCTCTGGGAGCGGAGAACCAATGAGGATAAGATAATAAAAAATAAATAATAAGATTTACATTTGGTGTAGTGCCTTTGATGTTGGGAGGTGTGAAAAGATGTGAATGAGGATGGGGATAATGGTTACATGGAGTCTTGAGATACGGGCTTTATGGATCTGGATGAGCTGGAACCTCTGGGAGTGAAACTAGGGAGACCAGTGAGAAGTGTGCGTCTGGACAGTGAGGATCACAAGGTCACAGAAGTGATTTAGGTGGAGAAGCCGTTCAGTCAATTTCATCTCATCCTTTCAGAATACCCACCACTATACTCCCACTCCAGCATTATGCTGGTTCTTAAAGAGACCAGTGCTGGCCTCATCATCCCTCCTTGGTAACCCATTCCAGACATTAAAATTGCCTGTTGGTGTCTGTCCTGAAGTTGTCCTTTGAAACTTTGAACCTGAGTCCCCTTTCTCTGCTGTCTTAATGTATCCAAAAGATGTGTTCTGGGTTAAGTTTCTTAATCTCATTTAAAATCTTATAAACCTCTATCAGGTCCCTCTGGGACATCTTTTCAAGGCTGCTGTGTCACCACAGGGTGGGTGAATGGGGGAAATCAACTGAGCTCACCCAATCTTGCCCTCACCCAATCTCCACACAAGAACACTTTCCGACAGAAGTTGTTGTGTAGTGATGCAGAGTTGGGATGTGATATAGAGTTGGAGTCCTGCTTGATTTTTCCCTCACCAGCCCAGAGACAGTAAGGCTACCTTGAATGCTTCTACTAATTCTCTCTCCCTCCCGCCCACCCCACAAAATAACCTTAGAAGAGATCCAAAGAATTGATCTTGCCATATACATCATATAAGTTACAACATATTGATACAGCACAGACATGATGGGCTGAATGACCTCTTTCTGTACTGTATAATTCTATGATTCTATGGTACCTTATATTATATGCCCTCATTGCTCAGAAAGTCTGCTCAGTGAGGAGATGAGCCACTTAGGTCCCTGATTCAATCTCTGGGCTATGCTGAGTTAGATGATCTCTGCAGGAATATGGTTTGGGTGGTATAATTGACTCTCAGAACCGTGTATTGTGCAATGAAAATATCAGGCAGGATTCCCACTCCTCACTGTTATCTACTGTCACACACTGTCTACCAGAAACTGCTCATCATGTATGAAAGTCCAATGAGAACATATTTGGGTCATGGCTTCTATGCTCTCCACTGGGGTTAAAAATGCGGTGTCCACCACAGGATTTGAAGAGGATTTGTAAATATCAACTCCTGATGATAATTGGATGTGCATTACAATGACCCACTAAAAATCTGCTTTGACACGTCAGGAAGAGATTATGCTTTGGACTCCACTGGCAAAATCTTTTAATATGACAGTCATATCACAGCCATCTGTACTCATTTGACATCTGCACATGTCAAGAAAACAGAAAAGGTGTCTTGATCCTGTAGTTGGCTGATATTCCCCCCCCCCGAGCCCAGTATCACTAAGTCAAAGTGTAGTGTCCACACTAAGATCAACAAACACAGCAGAGCCTGGGATTTGAACCTGCGGCTTCCAATCTGTGTGGCCTTGCGTTGGAGAAAATGGTGCTTTTGCCAAAGGGATTATTGGGGCAGCAGGCTCAGCTCTAGTAATGTAAACAAATATTCTGCAGTGCTGCAGAATGAGAGGAGTTGGTTCATTTTAATTATTTGTGAAGTCCTGTAGCATATTTTTTAGAGCACTCATCTCTCAAGGGAGAGGACCCGGGTTCGATTCCCAGGCACAACGAAACCTTAGGCAAGTTTCTTTACACACTCACAAAATATACAGTCAATTCACTTTTCAGTATATTGTGAAGGGCTTTGAGACATCTCAAAGATGTGATAAGGCACTATATCAAATGCAAGTATTATTGTATTATTATATTACTGTTGCTCCACATGCCTCTGTACAACAACAACAAGCTATACAAATGTAATCTTGTTGTTGTTGTTGTTTACCTAGCAATAAGTAGAAGCCCGGTTATTTGTAATTGGCGGATCACTTTCCGGGGATAATAATCCCTCCCACCCTCCAAAAAATAATTTTGGTCACTCAATCCACGACTGTTAATGGGACACTGCAGTGCGTAATTGGCTGTTGTGTTTTGCCCACAAAATATACAATCAATCCACTTTACAGTATATTCTGTGAAGTGCTTTGACATGTTTCAACAACATGATAAGGCTCTATATCAAATGCAAGGATTATAATTATTTGTACATGTTGATGTACCCCAACTGCTTCACAGAGCTTCTCCATTAAGGTTTCCACCCATTCCGTCTTGGGCAGTCTTTAGAGACATTCCTTTCCATCTCCGTTATCCTGCTAGGCACCGATTGAGTGCTTCATGGAAAGCTTGAGTTTTTCATGTCCTCAGGGGAGCTGCTGGATGTCTGATGAGTGTCTGCAGAGAGTACCAGACCCCAGAGAAGGAATGTAAGTGTAGGCAGACCTGTGACCTTGGCGACACCCCTAATGTTAGTGAAGTTTCCCTGCAATTTACACCTGAGTGATGTGAATACCCTTGTAAGGCTGATGACCTGTCTGTGAGCAACGGCACCATGAACTTATTACTGCTTTCAGAATGCTACCTATAATGTTGTCTATGGTTCTTGATTAATTTGTTGCTATTTTCACCTACTCATATTTCCCCCATCTTTCTCCTTTTTGAACTCCCCACAGTTGACTGTGATTCTTTTTGCACAGTTGCGCAATTAGCTGCTGCGTTTCGCTCATAAAATATACAGTCACTATACTTTACAGTGTATTCTATGAAGCTCTTTGAGATGTCTCGAAGAAATGATAAGGTGCTATATCAAATGCAAAGATCATTATTATTATTGACTGTTTCTGTCCCATTCCCTTTTCACTGCTGTGCACTTTGCTGCTCAGGTAGGTTGTCACTGCTGCCATCCATTGGAGATTGCCGCTGCTCATCCCCATTTCCATGCAGCTTTTTCCCATGTTTTCTCTAGAGAGAGTTCAGATAAGGAACATTGTTATGTGTGGGCTAACTCTAGTTTGCCCAAGGCAGAGGCTAAGGAAAACACTCTCTTCTGAGTGCTCTTCTTGGTATCCACATCAAACTCTGTACTGCTATCACTCCAGTCCTAGCCAGGCTCCACTGGTTCCCTGGTACAGAATGGATTGACTTCAAGATCCTCATAATCATTTATAAATCGCTTCACGGCTTGGTAACTCTCTACCTCTCTAAGCTGCCTTCTCACCACTCAACTAGCTACTGGCTCCGCTCAGCTGGCTCCAGCATCCTGCTTGTCCCTCATCCCCTCTGCTCTATCATTGGTGGCCTTGCTTTCAACCACTATGGCCCCAAACTATGGAACTGTCTCCCTCAATTTCTTCACCTTGATTCCTCCTTGCCCATCATAGATCACACCTGAAGAATTCCTCTTTGGTTGTGCCTACAGTCACCTCCCCCCTCCTCCCGGCATGAAACTTCAGTATTTGTTAAGCACTCTGAGACGCTACCCCTCATGAAGGGCACCAGATAAATGCAAGTTGTTGTTGCTGAAATAATGATGGACATTCATGAGGTGCAAGAGTCACATCTGCTTAAGTATATGAAAACGAAAAATCCTATCCTATCTCCTCCCCCGGCCCCAATCCAGGAACTATTTGATTTAAACTCAGACACTGCAAGAGAATTGCCGATAACTCTCAAGTACTTCATTCTTCACAAAGGAGCTAGACAATATGTGCCAGCACGTTGAGCAACAACTTGCATTTATATAACGGCCCTCACACAGGGTAGCGTTACAGAATGCTTAAGGTGAGGGTTTCACAACAACAACAACAAAATTACATTTGTATAGCACCTTTCACATCGGGAGGACGTCCCAAGGTGCTGGACAGTCAGTGTTTTGGACCCGAGCTGGTGGTCGGGATTGGGGAGGATGGAGGGCAGGGGGGGAAGGAGAGTGATCGAAAGCATGGTCGAAGAGGAGGGTCTTGAGATGAGTCTTGAAGCAGGCAAGGGAGGGGATGAGGTGGAGGGACTGCGGGATGGAGTTACAGAGGGTGGGGTCAGACTGGCAGAAGGCCTGACCCCCAATGATGATGGGCGAAGCCAGGGATGTGAAGCAGGCCGGAGCCCGCTGAGCGGAGGGAACGGGTAGGTTGGTATGGGTTTAGGAGGTCACAGAGATAGGGAGGAGCATGGCCATGGATGGTTTGAAGGTCGTAATTGATTGAGGTGGAGCGCATCACAGTCAAGCTTCACTCAGCAGGCACTAAATAGAGGAGGTTACTAAATAGCAATCAGAAATTCTGTCAGATGCCCTTTCCTCTTCCTAGATCAGGGATGCTGAAGCCAATTTTCTCTGCATATACCTTCTGCCTCCCTTACATTGCCATTCCAGCTAATTCAGTGTGAATCATGGATACGACTTGAACCTTCCTGGTGTGTCAGACCACACGTGTTGCATTTCTTCACTATGTTTTTGAAATAGTCCTTCATATTTTTCATATTTGTATTAATTTCCCTGTCCTGAAGGCTGAAATATGGTTTGCAGTGGAGCTAAGCATCCTCTGGTACATCAGGGATAGGGCCTGTGCACATGCACATTTCTTTTTAATAGAACAGGGCACCTAAACCCACAATGACCTAAAATAAGTTTAATAAATAAAATAATCCTTGCATTTCAGTGCCTAAATATGACGTTGTCAAAGTGCAGTGCAGTGACTGTATTTTATGAGCAAACTCGGTAGTCAATTTGCATATTACAATGTCTGCAAGCAACCATTAAGTGAATAACCAAATTTACTCACAGGATTCATTGGCCAGGTCACTAGGAGAAACTCCCTTCTCTTTTTGAATAGTGCCATGGGAATTTTAACGTCCAACTGAATGTCTCATTGAAGGATGATACCTCCAATAATGCAACAGTCCCAGAATTGATTGCATTGGAGTATTAGCCTAGACTATGAGTTTAAAATCCTGGCTTAGGGCTTGAACTCACAACCTTCAAGTGCAAATGCAACCAACTAAACCAGGTTGGCACCTAATTTGAGGCAGTATTACAAACTCATTTGTTTTTATTTTTTACCATAGGCCAGAGATCAAACCTGGGATCTTCTATTCTTTATAGCTCAGGACCTCACTTTATAACAACATTCTCTTCATTTCTGTTTAATCTCATTTTGTAAAGAACTTCGAGAACTTCTTTTATGAGAAATGTACCATATAAAGGTAGATGTGATGCTTTTTCCTGTTTCTAGTTATTCTTATTGTCTTATATTTGCTTTGTACTTGTATGTTATCAGAAGAAATACCTTGAGAAGATGAAGCAGAAGATAAATTCTAGAGAGATACGTCGTAACCAACTTTACCAGATGTACAGTCTTTCCTTTACCAATAGGGTAACAGCCCAACGGTATGTTTATTGTCCATTTTTCTAAATAATTATTTTTCAGACGAAACACTTGAAATTCCACCTAGTTTACCCTTTAAAACCACTTTGTCTTAAAATTTAAGGTAAGAAATTATTGTGGAAAGTTTGGATACCAGTTTCTCACAATTCTTAAAAAGCGCAGCCTGCCAAATTAAGTTTGAATTTAAAATGTTTCCACTAATTATGCCTGATCTTAAATTTTAAGACAAAGTGGTCTTACAGGGTAACCAAGTTAGGCTGGGTGACTGGAGAGATGGAAACAGTTGATCATATTGGTCCTGAAGTAGAGAATCAGCTAACCATTCCATTCCCATCCATGAGCCCCTGCTGGAAAATGCACGTGTGTGAATGACCACTTAGGGTAGGTATCGGTTGATACTGATAGAACTGTAGTCAGTGTGATTCAGTCCTTTCAGGAGAGGGGAGAGAGAAGTTGGAGGTGGGAAACATGTTTTCTTTTTAAAAAAATCAAATATCATATCAGTGTGCATTGATCTATTGTATTATAAATGTACATGCATATCTCTAGAGAAGATGTAAAAAGCCCAAGAAAATGGACATCATATCCTGTCAGGTTAGTTGAGAATTGCTTTCTTCTCATCTGTCTTCCTTTTCTGAATGTTATTTGAATCCCTCCCCCTTGGCTATGCACAAGTCATTATGCGGGAGGCAGACTGCAGACTTGCTCCCTGGTCGCTGTCAAAGGCATTGCTAGGAGTTTCATAAGAATCTCCGGAGAGACTCACCCTGTATATTCCGTGTCTCCCTTCCTCCAGGGAGGCATTTGGCCTTCACTTGTCATTATTCCCTGCCAGCTTGGCTTGAAAGACAATGCGGAGAATGTTGGCTGTGAACTCAATCGCAACACTCCACACAAAGCATATCAGTGCTTAGCTCAGATATTGGAGCAAAAAGTGTTGATATTTGGCCCATTGTCTGCACATGTTCTACCATTTCAGTGTCATTAGGATACATCTATTGTTTTGTAACAAGTGAGGGGGAAATTCCATTGAAGGTAAATGAAGGGGGAAATGTGGGAAATAAGTAAAGCAAAGGGATTAGATAGGGACAGTCGGGAGTTAACACAAGCAACAACAACCGTAACAACAATTTCTGCAGTTCTGCAACCAATTTTTTGCAGTTAATGTGAAGAAATGGCTTCTAAATTAAGACTATTTTTTAAAAAAATTGCAGGATTCTTCATGATTTTTAATTTAATATAAGAAATTTTGTGACATTCTTCCGGTCTGGAAATAGATTGGGTAGGTGGATGTAAATATAATTTGAGGACTATACATTACACACTGGTCACATAACTAAAGGGATCACAGTATTTTCAGATCCTTTTATTTTTCAGAATTTTTCAATATGTTTTTTCAACAATCAATATGATTTACTAGGAAGGAGACCTGATGCAAAATCCAGGCCCCTCTCTTTACAGGCTTTTAAATTATTTTTTTCATAATTCTGTGCGATCTTAAAACATTTAAGACCAAACGGTTTTACAGATTTGGATGTTTTCATATTCACTGTATCCTGACTAGTTTTGACCATAACCAACCCCAAAATGATGATGTGTGTGAGTGTGTTTACATGTTCACTTTCCATTGTCAATTTCCAATGTTCATAGCATACAATAACTCTGACCCAAGGAAAGGCAGATAAGCAGCTAGGGGTATATCACACAATGTAACCTCAGTATCATATTTTTAGGACACAATGGTCTATTCACCAAAGTGGCCATTCTTTTTTGTGTGAGCGTAGAAAGTGAGTGGTGGCATGCCAACTATGCCTCCCTCAACCTGACCTCACACAATCAAAAAATAAATGATATTTTTATATCACCTTATCACATGAAATATATGTTTTCATGCGATAAGGTGTTTTACAGCATACCTGTCAAGTATAGTGACTGTTATATTGTAGGCAAATCCACCAACAATTTTGCAAACGACAAGGACCCACAGACAGTCATGAGGTGAATGACCAATCAATGTATATTCATTATGTATTACATTTAATGTGTCTGTATGTATCAGTGGCAGACCCTCCTACCTCCCTCTAGCATTCTCAATGGCGACAACCATTAGTGCATTAGAGTTCTGGCTGGTGGATCGTAGTTTTCAACTACTGGTTAGCATGATACTGGCTTGCCAACTGGAAGATGAATGCCATTATCTGAATGCAGTGAGCCTGTCTTTATTAGGTATCATCATTAAGATCAGAGTTGCAGGAAACTGACTCCAAATTACTCTGGTACATTTTGATTTGATTAATAGCTGAAATACCAATTGAACTTCTTGCCCATTTGATGTCAGGTAAACTCAGCACAGTCCAGTGATTAAACCTGTGACCATCCTGGTCTGCATGGTTCACACACACAACAGGTATCTACTGAATTTTTAAAATGTATTTATATATGTAAATATAACCAAAATATGTCAGCTTTGCTTGCAATATTATCTATTTCTTTCCTTACCTTTCTTTCTCCTCCTGAGATATATCCCTAAAAAGGGGTAGGGATCAGAAAGTTATTTGTGGTGAAAATTATTCAAAGTCTTACATCAGTAACAACTTTGATTCAAAATAAAAAGTGTTTTCTTTCCTTTCATTGACAATTCTATGTCATTGTGTCACTGGACTGCTATCTGTACTTGTCTGGAGATGTGCAGAAGATCCTGGAATGATTCCAAGTGAGTGTTACCACAATGTTGACTCCAGAGCCACATTGTAGTATTCACACTGGAATCAATCTGCAGCCCAGCCTGTAAATACTGAGGTTGCATGGACGAACGGGTTTAATATGGAAGGCCAGTAAAATTGAACCTGGTTGTCTGCGAGAGAAAGTCAGCCACCAAGTCATCGGCCAATTTAGTTCACTCTTTATTAGCATTTGAATCGGCCTGAGGTTGTTGTTTTGCTTTTAAAAAGAAATGTGTCCTTTGTTGTAACAATTAGTGCTGAGGTAATTTTCTAACTCCCTTTTATCAGTCAAAATGGACAGGGAAATGGCAATAAAGAAGAAAGTTTGTTCTCCTGACTGAAATGTAAATTTGGGCTTTGTTCACATGAATCAAGCTCAACATCGGGCCACTTGATGTGGGTTTATTCACTAAAGCTGCTTGTGTTTAGGGCACGCAAATCTTCTGGCCGCAGCTCAATTTGTTTACTTATCTGGGCTTGGCTGAGGTGTACTTGTAAACATCATTCGCGTTTGTTAAGTTACACTTTTTGTTACAAAAGAGGAATGTTGAGATGCAGGTTTGGCACAATGTTGACTGGTAAAGTATCACTGACCACATATAAATATTATCTCAGTATTGTATGTCTCATTCTTCAAATGAGGTACTAACCCAAGGTCCTGTCTGGCTAAATGAAAAGGGGGTTTCTCCTTGAGTCCTGGGCAAAAATCCCCCAACAAAGTTGAGGTACACTTCCACAAGCATCCACAGCTCATAGTTACTCGCCCAAAGTGACCATTCTTCACCGGAACCTGGATGTTGAATGTTACTAGGCAATTTGATTGTGGTGAGAAGGAAAAGAGGCACCAGAATAGATCCTGATTCTGTCCTCACCCATCATCTATAAATACAACTTATGGAAAGCAAACATGAATGGGAACACTGGTTTTTATTTCCTATTTTTAGCTCAAGGACATTGAACCCAAAATTAGGATCGTTCAAATGCTACCCCAACTGATACAGGTAATGGTCAATACATGACCCTTTCTGGTTTAACTACTGAGCTAATAAGAAGGAAGTACTCACTACTTAAACACAAGTATTTTGAAATAATGATCATGGTGGAAAACACAGTGTTTGCAATAGGATTCATAATATTGAATCCTGCCGATAATCAGTTGTGTGTCACGCTGACCTGTGGACATTCCTCTCCAATGCGATCTAATTATAATAATAAATAATAATAATAATCCTTGCATCTGATATAGTACCTTAGACATCTCAAAGGACTGTGTGCATTTTGTGGGGAAATACAGAAGACAATTTGTGCACAGCATTGTCCAGAATGATCATTTATTTTTATTTGGGAGATTGTAGGCTAGAACACCAGAATAAACTCACTTCTCTTTTCAAATAGTGCCATGGGCTTTTTAATGTCCACCTGGAGAGGCAGACACAACCTCAGTTTAATGTTTCATCCAAGGGACAGCACCTCTGACATGGAAGCACAACCACAGCATTGCTTGTGGAGTCCTGTAGCTCAGTGGTTAGAACACTCGCTTTGCAAGTGAGACTACCTGAGTTCAATTCCAGGCAGGGCGAAACCTTGGGTAAGTTTTCTTACTCCACATGCCTAATAATAATCCCTCCAAAAAAAACAAAACAATAATGAATTGGTCATTTTCAATCCATGACACTGCTGTGCGCAATTGGCTTACGCGTTCGCCCACAAATATATAGTCAATTCACTTTACAGTATATTCTGTGAAGCGCTTTGGGATGACTAGAAGACGTGAAAAGCGCTATATCAAATGCAAGGATTATTATTATTATTATTATAGAGTGTCAGCCTAAAGTATATAAGAGTGCTACCACTGAGCCATGGTGATACACACTTCCAGACACATTGTAGTGGGGATCTCATGGGTTGGTGTGATGCACATCTTGTTACCTGCGAGATTCATTGTTTATGAATCCTTCGCCGATCCTGTTGCGAATCTCACATTTTTGACAACAGTGAGATCCTTCACTTCCTGCTGTTAGTCTTAAGCATCACTGACTGTTACTGTCACCATGAAGTCAGGGTTCATTTACTGTAAAAACGCTCCCACTTGTGTAATGGGACCATAAAAAAATAAAGGAGATATTGTTGACCATCTAAGGGCACTGAACATTGGAGAGTTAATTCAAAAAAATGCACATACATGTATATCCTGGAGGCAAACATGAAAAAAGCCATTGTTTAGCTGATGATTTATATTAACACGTACTCTCTGTCCAGTTACTTATGACCATCTCGGTTTTATTCCAAGTTTGTTTTTCTCTCTTTGGTGCTACATTGAGCAGGCTGCTTGAGAGAAACGGCCAGTTCATGAAGTTTGAAGAGCCCAGTGTCCAAGATTTGGTAAGTAATCAAATCTCTTAAATTCCACTGTTTGCCTGATCTGGTCCCACACTCGCGAAGCCTAACTGTTGTTTGTTTTACATTAAATCATTTGTAACTGCTGATCCTGTAACAGTAACTGAAATAGGTCATAAATGATACAGGTCTGTTATGGTCAGTAGTACTGTCTATGCTAATTAAATCAACATCATTGTAACATGTATCTTCAAGTTATGTACAATATCCAGCTGGAAATTACCTTTTCCAGTTCATGCCATCATTAAAGATAATTTTGAAAATATCTTTTACTCATTTTAGTGGAGTAGTAAATCGTTTATATTGCCATCCGATCCAGAGAAATTAAGGACTTCTTAGCATAGCTGGCTTTATATATTTTCAGCTAACTGCAAGAAAGATTATCACAATAATAATAATAATCCTTGCATTTGATATAGCGTCTTAACAAGTTGACATATTGCAAAGCACTTCACACAGATTGTTTTGCAAAGTGTATTTGTGAACGAATGTTGCAGGCAATGTGCACATAGCAATGTCCCACAAACAGTCATGAAGTGAATGACTATATAATAATAATAATAATAATCCTTGCATTTGATATAGCGCTTTTCACGTCGGGAGGACGTCCCAAAGCGCTTCACAGAACACACTGTAAAGTGAATTGACTGTATATTTGTGGGCGAACGCGGCAGCCAATTGCGCACGGCAATGTCCCACAAACAGTCGTAGATTGAAAATGACCAATTTATTATTGTTTTTGGAGGGATTATTATTAGTAATATATATATTACTGGGGGGTGGAGGAACTCCCTGCTTTTTTCAAATTGTGCCATAGGATCTTTATTGTCTACCTGAATGGGACCTTAGTTTAATAATTCATTCAAAGGAGCATTCCACTAATCCTGCAATAGAGTGTCAGTCTAGACTAAGGGTTGCTGTCCTGGGAATTCCGATCCAGGAATCCCATATGGTAATGGTGCTCCTGAAATCCTGAGATTTATTGAAGAGAATCTCAGGATTTGGGGATTCTATAAAGGCTAAGCCCGGGGGGTGGGGGGGAGGAAGGGGAGGGCAGGCCTTTCCGCTCTTCCGGAAGCAACAACAACAAATTACATTTATAAAGCAGGTCGCATATTGTCGCGAGGCCAAGTGGGTGGGTGTTTAAACTTCCCAGGTACTCCCCCCGTGGAGGGATGCTCTCTCTGAGGTACCCCGCTAGTGTGGAGAACAACGGCAGGTGTCCTGAACGAGGTAAGATTCGGGATTCCAGGATTTGGGGTCATTAATATCCTGAAATCACAGGATTCCAAAAGAGCACTGCGATTGCAATCCCTAGTCCAGATAAGTAGCTCAAAGTCTCATTGGTCACCAAGGTGGAGTCCTATAGCTCAGTGGTTAGAGCACTCACTTTGCAAGTGAGAGACCCGAGTTCAATTCCTGGCAGGGCGAAACCTTGGGCAAGTTTCCTTACTCCACACGCCTAATAATAATCCCTCCAAAACCAAAAACAATAATAAATTGGTCATTTTCAATCTACGACTGTTCGTGGGACATTGCTGTGCACAATTGTCTGCCGTGTTCGACCACAAATATATACAGCCAATTCACTTTACAGTGTGTTCTGTGAAGCGCTTTGGGACGTCCTCCCGACGTGAAAAGCGCTATATCAAATGCAAGGATTATTATTAGTATAAGGTACTCAAATGTCAGTATATGTATTACTGTATTAATGGCATGAACGGCAATTCAGAAGAATGACTCATTCTTTTGTTTTTTGAATATTTGGGGTAAAGGAATATTATTTACTGGCAAGGACAATATGAGAAACTCCCTAATCTTTATTAAAATTGTGGCCTAGGATGTTTAACAGAGTTTTCTGAAAGTTCCTGACGCTAATTCGTTCTCTTCAGATTTCATGTTGGTTTCCTGAGAATGGCAAGATAAACCAGAGCCAAAAGGCAACGGAAGGCTCCTCTCCGGCTAACAGTGACATTCAGCAAAGCGAGCAGGCAAGGCCAATGAGTTTGGAGAGCACTGAAAAGACAGAAACACCTCCTGACAGAAAGATTACTGGGTGAGCTAGCGTGCAGAAGATTGCGACTTCCACTGGAGATTACAAACTAATTCACGGTTAACTAAACAGCTTTGTCTTTCCTGATTAATATACTGATTCTCCCGCTTGGATTACTCCAACGGACTCCACACTATTCTCCCCAGCTCCACCATTCAAAAGATCCAGCTCATTCAAAACTCCCGAAGGTCACTGGGCAGTGACGAAGAGTAGGAAGAGATCCAGGCTTGTTCTTACCCTTCACCCAGTGAGGCATTAAAGTCAGTTGTAGAGCTCCTACCACTGCCGCAACAGGAATCAGCACAGAGCAGCAATCGTAACTGAAACATTCATGGTGTTTGTAGATTAGTACAGCTCCAGATGGTGCATTTAACCACTGAGCTTGATACATGCTATTTATTTTAATAATAACAACTCTTGCAGAAGGGCACAGTGGCAGTATGAGCAGGGGACAGCTGGACAAAGATAAAGCTACATTAGTAGGAGGATTAGCTTTTCCAGTTTACGTTCTGTTTCCAGTTTATACAGGGAGATGTCTGAACTGAAACTGCTTAGAGACCCTATGTTAAGAGTTTTGCTTGTGCAATTTCAGAACTAAATTAATTTGAATAGTTTACAGTGCCAAATTGCGATCTGATAAAAGGCATCTGTTCCAACCTACAAACAGAAAGGTGTAACACACCCCAACATAGTTAAAGTAAACCCCTGACTTACCGGACTGTATATAACATTTCTAAAGACTTGTGATGCATTGTCAGTATAAATGTGTCAACTGTTTAAAAGGTGGCACACAATACAGACCACCACTGTACCACTTGATATGATTCATGAGTAAATATTTCCTTTTGCTAAATGTAGTTCACCTTTTATTTCAATGTTTTCTACTCTCTTCTGATAGATCTAGAAGCCAAGAATTCAGCCAACAGGGTCAGAATGGAATTGATTCCTGCCTGGAGAATCTTGGTGTACCTCTGACTATGGAAGATGTTCTTCTGAAGTGCCGCATTGTGGTTCGTATATGTCTGACTATAAGCAATACTAAATGGTGAAGAGAGTACTGCACCAGTAAGAAATGCCTGTTAAGTTACAAGTGGTATGCTCCATTCTGTACAGACATGTGACAATTTTAGTCAAACTAAATTAAAACTGGGCACCAGCGAATGTGAAACTGTGTGTCTATCTAACCTTTAGCCAGCATGAGGTAAAGCAGTAATAAAATATTGATGTCGTTAAAAACCCAAACATGTGCAAGTTCTCTTCAGCCAGGAGATTCTATTCTATCTCTTCACTAATTTGTATGTAAAATATTAATTGCTATTTTAGGGTAAAATAAATACATTTGTCAAAAGTCTTTATTTGAACTGAACAGAAACATTAAACTAAAATGACACCATAACAAGTCAAATCTTCACACAGGGGTGCATTGAAGACACAGTTAACATTTATTGGGAACTCTTCCACACCAGGCTGTTCACAAGTGATGCAGTTTTTAACTTGTGATACTTTTGTCTTTCAGGAAGCCAAGCAAGCTAGCAGCTTTTGGTTAAACTATGCAAACTTGAGAGAATGTTATCACAGCCAAGAGGACAGACCAGACTTGTATGAACACAATATGGCTTTAGGATAGTACAAGTTATTGTGGCTACCAACAAGTTCTATATTACGATATATCAGAGATGACCTCTGGAATTTTGTTTGGACACCAAACCTTGGAAAGGAAGGCAGGGAGGGACAAGATGACAAAAGATTAAAGAGCAATATCTTCAGCCGGATCTTATTTATCTTTTTTTGAATTGTGAGTTTTAGACTTCCATGTATTCTGTGTTGTGCAGATAGCAGAGGATTCAACTGAATTTCTTTCTTTCTAATAATATTAATAATAATCCTTGCCTTTGATATAGCGCCTTATCATGTCTATGAGGTGTCCCAAAGCGCTTCACAGAATATACTGTAAAATGAATTGACTGTATATTTTGTGAGCGAAATGCGGCAGCCAATTGCATAGAGCAGTGTCCCACAAACAGTTGTGGATTGAGTGACCAAATTATTTTTATTTATTTTGAAGGAATTATTACCCCCCGGAAAAGGGATTCGCCAATCGACTACCAACCCAATTCAACTAACAAAATGAGTTTTGTGTGATGTGTTAGCCAATTGATTAAATGTGTTAGCCAGTTGGCTAATAAAGCCAATCGACTAACGAAATGTGTTTTAATACACATTTTCACACAGGTTACGCTGCCTTTACTTTTATTTTCAATTCACACTGTTAGAAATGTTTTCATACTTAACAGATGATTGACTCATAAAATAATTACATTGCTTTGTCAATTATTACAAGTGGCTATCTTTATAATAATAATCCTTGTATTTCATATAGAGTCACTCACGTTGGGAGGATGTCTCAAAGTGCTTCACAGTCTTCACTGTAAAGTGCAGCGAGTGTGTATTTTGCAGCTGAATATAGATATATGCATCTTTAATAGGGGAAAGATTGAAAAGTAGTTTTCCAACCCAAAGAAAACAGGTAAACTTGATTTTAAAAATACAATGAACTAGTTTATGATTTACTTTATTTAATTCAAAATTATTATTCTGAAAATATTATGATGAAGAACATTAGTAGTGCTCTCAAGTATTATTTTGAGCATTAATGACAGTTCTCTTTTCAAGAAGAATTTTATATTTCTGAAAAATAATTACTTAACAGGGCATTCACACCTGCTTGAAATCCAATAGCTATATAATAGTTTGTCATCTGTTTCAATCTGCAGGAAGTTGCATAGCTCTTTACTGGTGCATTATTGTAACTATGCATCTTATTGGCTTTTAAATGGTTTAAAAATAACATGCACAGACTAAGTCTCCAGATTCAACTTCTGCAATGATAAATGAAATAGACACAGTAAGAAATAAAGGAATCTGAATTAATATTCCAGAATTCACTCTGCATTCTTGATCATTTCTGTACCCTGAAGAAAGTCTCACATCCTTTATTCAGCTCTACATGAAACAAACTAATAAATTACAAGTGTAAAATAAATGTGAACGTAGCTTTTATTCAATATCAATACACTTGTGCAACATAAATATATGTACTCAATTCAAATGACCATTGGTGGTGAAGGAGTGAATAAACATACTCATCCCATGCACTGTGACATAAGCCTTACATCTTCCCCCACCCACATAGGAGCATATTCAACACTGACTTCACCTAAAATCAATCGGTTGAGGGCTCACCATAGCAAGTCTCCCAGCGAAAAAAAACACCTATTCAGATAAATATCTGAGACCATCTTCAGCTGACTGCCACAGATCTAATCAAGGATCAGCATTCATTATGCTCTTGGTTTTTATCCTGGGTGATGACCCCAGCACATAAACATAAATATAACCTTCATCATAAAGAATATATGCAACAAGTGAGTCAATTTATTTGTACATCCGATATTAATCATCAGATAAGCCAGAAGCAGTAAATATCCCACTCTCCTCTCCCACACCACTCAGTCCTACTGACTGGCAGTCAAAAGTTGTGATCCACAAGATAAATGCATGATCCGGCTTCCAGACATCAGCACTGGGGAGTGTTGGGTGTGGTGGGGGGGATGGTGGTACAACTACGAGGCATCTAAACAATTCATATTCAAATACTAAGGAATCTTTTAATATAGACCTCAAGTTATACTCAATTACAACAAATAGTAGTCTCATCAAAACAATGGTTATTCTGCACTAAATTCATCTACCTCCTGAACTATATTTTCCACAGGGAACGGAGAACCCTGGTAAATGAACAAACAGTGGCAGAACATCGACATAGAGAATACTTGATTTTATCCAGATTAACTGGAGCAGAAGTTTCCTTAAGTGGAAGATAAAGGCTGAGTTCAACCTAATCTGTATTATTCTTAGAAACCTTACAGCAGCCAGGTAGCAGTAAATAGTAGACTAGGAGACTAGGAGCAGATTGCTTATTATCTGTGGTAAGAAACTGCAACGGAAGACCTAAGAATAATATTCAATCTATAGACAGACAAAAATATTACTGTCATAAGACTACAGAATGCCAATATCAAGTAGCAATTGATGCAGTCTGCACTCACCAGCAAGATGATTGATTACTGTTGTGGTTGGCTGCTTGAACAATCTGAAATAAAAACAAACAAATCTGGTTTAAAACACTGCAGTTCACAGCAATGAAAAATCTACCTATCAAAAATAATAATAATCCTTGCATTTGATTTACCACTTGCATTCCTTGGATTATCATGTCTTTGAGATGTCTCAAAGCGTTTCACAGAATACACTGTAAAGTGAATTGACTATATTTTGTGGGTGATACACGACAGACAATTGCACACAGCAGTGTCCCACAAACAGTTGTGGTTGAATGACCAACTTATTACTGTTTTTTAAGCGATTCACCATTGGACTAACAACTGGGTTATTATTTACTGCTAGGTAAGCAAGGTGTGTGTGTGTAGTAAGGAAACTTGCCCAACATTTCGCCCTACCCGTCCAAGAATCAAACCCAGGTCCTTTCTGTAAAACAAACTGTAAAATTTTGCCAGGGAGTCTACGGGGCATAGAGAGATGGTCGTTGCAAAACCCTTGCAGTCAAAACCTTTGGCTTGTCACACTGGGGCCAGGATTTAGACATTTCCTTAGCCACCATCAATTACCAGGTTTTACTATTAGTGCAACAGATCTTCCAGACAAAGTTTATGTAACATGTTGAAAAGGAATGAAGGAAATCTCAAGCATGGAGTATGACTTTTAGAAAGAAACCTCTGAGCTGAAATCCGAGACCTTTAAAATTTATGCTCACATTAATTATCAAAACTTATGACAGATTAGAATCATCTGCCCACCTCACTGGACATGCTACCAAGCTAATGCAGGAAGAAAGCATAAGGAATATCCACTAAACTTGGG